GGATCATCAGAAGGGATGAGCCAGTGTCCATCTCCTCAAATCCCAGCTCTCCGGGAGAAGGGAAGGCAGGAGATGTGAGGTACCTGAGTGTCCCCTGGATTAGTGATGGAAGGCTGGACTGGATCATCTCCAAGGTCTTTTCCAACCCGAATTATTCCCGCCATGGATGGGGAGAATCCCTTCTGGAGGTGTTGGCAGGGGAGGAATGTTTGGATTTTCGGGTTTCAGCATCACCAGCTCCAAAGAGCTTCCAAGAGCTCCAAGGAAAGGGAAGGCTCTGATCACGAGCTAACAATTAAACCCTCCCCAATTAGCCCTTGATTGGCCTGATGTTGCACTTGGCTGGAAGCGCTGACTGGGTGATGTAAGACAGAGTAAATAATTAAAGATGAGCTCGTTAATTAACGCAATATCCCATGGCAAAAATATTCCACAGGCCAGAACAACACGGAATTAATATTCCAAAGTGTCTTCCCTCGCTGGTGGGATCAGGAGTTGGTTGATAAAAGGAATTAAGTCCATGGAATGACATTGGAGCTTTGTTTAGCCCTACCCAGGGCTGTGATGAATAATTGAAATTTTGAATTTTAATATTAAATCTGCAGCCCTGCCAAGCCAGCCCCATCCGCTATGGGCAGAGATTCCTGGTGGAAATTCAGGAAAGAATCCCCCACGGATGTGTGTCCAGCCCTGATTAAAGAATTTAATGGAGAGGGAACAAAATATTGCCTAAAAATCCCTCTTTGGACACAACTCTGGGGACAAATTCAGCCCCAGCAGAGAAAATTCCAGCTCAAGGGGGTCAAACTTCCCAAACTGAGGAGAAATTTTAAACCAGGACTTGTCAGGTAAACTCAGTTCTAGGTAATCCTAATCCCAAATGGCTCCCTAGGAGTGCAGAGAATCATGGAATTGTTCAGGTTGGAAAAGACCTTTAGGATCATCAAGTGTGGCTGTCAGTCCTTCCCTACAGCCACCACTATCCCATGGCCTCCAGAGCCACATCCATGGGTTTTGGACAATTCCAGGGATTGTGACTCCGCTGCTGCCCCTGGCAGTGGGTGAGAGCCCTTTCCAGGAGGAATTTCCCCCTCACATCCAACTTTAACCTTCCCTGGGGCAGCCTGAGGCTGCTCCTTCTTGTCCTGACACTTGTTAATGACGCAGAAAAATAACAATGAGGAAGATGCAGTGGAAAGAGAAGAAGGAAGAGGAGGAGGAGGAGGAAGAGGAAAAAGAGGAAGATGAGGAGGGAGATAGAAGGGGGGAGGAGGAGGAGGAGAAGGAGGAGGGGGAGAAAAAGAAGAGGAAGAAGAAGAAGAAGAAGAAGAAGAAGAAGAACAAGAACAAGAACAAGAAGAGGAAGAAGAAGAAGGAGGAGGAGGAGGAGAAGGAGAAGGAGAAGAAGAAGAAGAAGAAGAAGAAGAAGAAGAAGAAGAAGAACAAGAACAAGAAGAAGAACAAGAACAAGAAGAAGAACAAGAACAAGAACAAGAAGAGGAAGAAAAAGAAGGAGGAGGAGGAGGAGAAGGAGAAGAAGAAAGAAGGAGAAGAAGAAAAAGAAGAAGAAAAAGAAGAAGAAAAAGAAGAAGAAAAAGAAGAAAAAGAAGGAGAAGGAGAAGAAGAAAAAGAAGAAAAAGAAGAAAAAGAAGAAAAAGAAGAAAAAGAAACAAGAGAAGAATAGAGAAGAAAGGGAAACAGAAGAAGAAGCAGAAGAAGCAGGAGAAGAAGAAGAAGAAGAAGAAGAAGAAGAAGAAGAAGAAGAAGGAGGAGAAGGAGGAGAAGGAGGAGAAGGAGGAGAAGAAGGAGAAGAAGGAGAAGAAAAAGAAGAAGAATTCTTCACTCCTCCTTTGCTCCTTTGCAAACTGGGATCTGTGAAACCCAGAGACCAGCCCCCCCTGCCTGGAGACGCCGCACCACAGTGACAAAGCTGCTCCTGGGGTGTCCCCAGCGGGCCAGGCCGTGACCCAGCAGGGCTCAGGTGTGTCCTGGAGGAACCTCTGGCACCTCAGCAGCCTCTCCAGGGAGGGAGAAGCTCCCTGCGCTCATCCCCCTCCTTCTCCATCACCCAACCCTCCCTCAGGGAGGCTCCTCAGCCTCTGCCATTCACGGATCTGGTTTGATTTATTTGCTCCCAGCCCTGGCAGGGGTTTCCGAAGCCTGGAATGGACTTGTTGTTGCTCTCTGGATATGATCTGGCCCCGAATAAAATCTCGAGGTGGTGAAGCTGTGAGGAGCATGAACTCAGCTCTGCTTCCCCACAAACACAATTTGCCTTGTCACTTCTTATTTATTTTGAAGAGACTGGCAGGTTACATCTGCCTCATGTTGGCCCAGATGCTATAAATTAACCCCTTTTCCATGTGTGATTTATTTGGCTTTCATCTCCTCCAATCTGGCTCAAAATATACAGGAAAAAAAAAAAAAGGATTCTGCAGGCTTGGGGGTCAGAATAAATCTTTAAAGCCAGGCTGCATGAAATGCTGTACTGAAAAGCTTTCTCTGTGCATACCAATGGTTTTCTGCAGCCCCAGTCCAGCACATTTCTATTTTCCTGCATGAAAAACCAGAAATAAACCAGCTAAAAATGGGTTACAACAACCCATTATTCCCCCCAAAACAAAAGCTCCACACAACTGCCACATTCCCGCCTTGCAGTTATTTATTGGGCTTTTTTTTTTTCCAATCATGCCTAAGAAGGGCCCAATTTCTTGTCTCTATTCACACTCCCATTGAAATCCAAGCCCCCTTTTTAACCATTTCATCATTTTTTTCAGCGTTTTCAGTTCCCCAGGGCCTTGACTCCATCTGTGCTGCTGAGATTCAGGAGCACAACAGAGCCACTGCTCTGAGAGCGGTGGAAAAGAATTTATTTGCTAAATAAAGTCAGTTTTAACTTTAAAAGAAAAATCAAAGTGTTACTTCCAGCATCCTGAATCCACCATAAATTAGCAGGATGGGATGAACCCTAAATGTGCACAGGGAGGGGTGGGAAATGGAAAACATCATAAAATCATTTTAGAACTAATTTTCAGTTTTGTGGTTTGTTAAAACTACTCCAACTGCCCCAGTCTTGGCAAAATAATTGCCTTGGAATAAATTTCCACAGTCTGGGATCCAAATCCTGATGAATAGATTGAACCAAATTCACTCATTTGAGGCCAAACAGTTTTTCTGGTTTCCTTCAGAGCTGCCTTTGGGATTAAAATCCCAAGATTTGGAGAAGTTGGTGGCTGTGAAAACCCCTCCAGCAGGCTCTGAAAGGTGTCAGCCAAAGGTTGGATCCCATTTGGAAGGAGCAGAACCATCCAGAACTGTGGGATTTGCTGCGTTCCCACCAATTTGTGCTGCGAAATTCCTGCCAAGGGGATGTCATCCCCATCACATCCATTTATCTCCTGGCTACTCCCAAACCCAAGATTCCTGTCACCCTGATTTTTTAGCATTTTCTAAGCCTTCTGATGTTTACATTCTTGTAACAAACCTTCTCACACACTTTCTGTAAATAACTCATTGTTTTGCATTCTTTAAAGAGGAAGAAATATTTAATGGACTGTTGGTTTGTCCAGTGTCATTGGAGAGGTGGCACTGTCACCCTCCAATCCACTGTCCCTTTTAGAAATCTGTAAATGTTGCAGTCAGAAAATAAACTTCCCTTTTTTTACCTTGAAAAAGAGTGGGGTGTGTGTGCCATGTTATTTTGTGTCCTATTGTAACAGATTCCAGATTCCTATAGTGACAGATTCCAAACTCAGAATTCCTATAAGTGACAGATGCCAGATTCCTATAGTGACAGATTCCAAACTCAAAATTCCTATAGTGACAGATTCCATATTCCTATAGTGACAGATTCCAAACTCAGAATTCCTATAAGTGACAGATTCCAGATTCCTACGGTGACAGATTCCAGATTCCTACAGTGGCAGATTCCAAACTCAAAATCTCGGAATCTCCCTTTTGTTGCTTGAGCTCTACCCAGCCTCACCCAATAAAACCCAAACACTCCATGAACACAGTTTTGAAGAAAACCTTCAGATTCCAAACTCAAAATTCCTAGAGTAACAGATTCCAGATTCCTGTAGTGACAGATTCCAAACTCAGAATTCCTATAAGTGACAGATTCCAGATTCCTGTAGTGGCAGATTCCAAACTCAGCATCTCAGAATCTCCCTTTTGTTGCTTGAGCCCTACCCAGCCTCACCCAACAAAACCCAAACACTCCATGAACACGATTTTGTAGAAAACCTTCAGATTCCAAACTCAAAATTCCTATAGTGACAGATTCCATATTCCTATAGTGACAGATTCCAAACTCAAAATTCCTATAGTGGCAGATTCCAAACTCAAAATCTCAGAATCTCCCTTTTGTTGCTTGAGCTCTACCCAGCCTCACCCAACAAAACCCAAACACTCCGTGAACACGGTTTTGAAGAAAACCTTCAGATTCCAAACTCAAAATTCCTATGGTGACAGATTCCAGATTCCTATCAGATTCCTATAGTGACAAATCCCAAACTCAGAATTCCTATAAGTGACAGATTTCAGATTCCTAACTCAAAATTTAGGAATCCCCCTTTTGTTTTTTGAGCTCCACCAAACCTCACCCAACAAAACCCAAACACTCCGTGAACACAGTTTTGTAGAAAACCTTCAGATTCCAAACTCAAAATTCCTATAGTTACAGATTCCAGATTGCTATAATGACAGATTCCAAATGGAAAATTCTTATAGTAACAGATTCCTGATTCCTATAGGTGACAGATTCCAGATTCCTATAGTGACAGATTCCAAACTCAAAATCTCGGAATCTCCCTTTTGTCGCTTGAGCTCCATCAAGCCTCACGCAACAAAACCTGAACACTCTACTAACACAATTTTGAAGAAATCCTTCAACCCCCTGGCAAAACCCAAACCAACTGACTAAAACACCCTCAAAAAACATTTAAAAAAAACCAAATTAAAAACCTGATTAATTCCCGGCCCCACCCCTCCTATCCTACCTGTGACGAGGAAGCTGCAGCGGCCGGCGCCCGCCTCGTTGATGATGTTGCAGTTGTAGAGGCCGTAGGAGTCGCGGGAGAGGCTGCTGACGGTGAACTCTGTGGAGTCCTGCAGGTCGAAGTGGCCCGAGCGCAGCAGGCGCCCGCCCAGGCGCCACTCGTAGCTCAGCACCCGCGTGGGGTACGCGCGCAGCACGCGGCAGCTCATGGTGACCGCGCGGCCCTGGCCCTGCCGCAGCTCCAGGAACGCCGGCTCCACCGCCGGGGGGTCTGCGGAGACACGGACGGGGTTAGAGCGGGGTTAGAGCGGGGAGCCAGGCCTAGGGACAGGATTAACCAAAGTTCGTATTTAGGAGCTGCCGTACGGACAGGATTGATCCAGGTTCTTGTGCGGGACCTGCCCTAGAGACAGGATTAACCGAGATTCGGGTGTGGGACCTGCCCTAGAGACAGGATTAACCGAGATTCATGCATGGGACCTGCCCTAGAGACAGGATTACCCAGGGTTCTTGTTTAGGACCTCTCCTAGAGACAGGAGTAATCCAGGTTCTTGTTCAGGACCTCTCCTAGAGAGAGGTTTGATCCAGGTTCTTGTTTAGGACCTCTCCTAGAGACAGGATTAACCAAGGCTCCTGTGTGGGACCTGTCCTAGAGACAGGACTAACCAAGGTTAGGACCCATCCTCGGCATATAAACTAACACAGGTTCTTATTTAGAAACTGTCTTACAGAGAGGATTGATCCAGGTTCTTCTTTAGGGTCTCTCCTAGGTCTGCGGAGACACAGCCATGGCAGCAGGGTGTTAGAGGGGGGAAGCCAGGCCTAGGGACGGGATTAACTGAGGTTCATGTGTGGGACCTGCCCTAGAGACAGGATTGATCCAGGTTCTTGTTTAGGACCTCTCCTAGAGACAGGATTAAGCCAGGTTAGGAACCATCCTAGGCATCCAAACTAACCCAGCTTCTTGTTTAGGACCCGTCCTAGGAATCACGACTAACCCAGGTTCTTGTTTGAGACCTGTCCTAAGAGACAAGACTAACCCAGGTTCTTCTTTAGGACCAGTCCCAAAGACAGGACCAGCCCAGGTTCTTCTTTAGGGCCCATCCTAGGATTCAAGGCTGACCCAGGCTCTAATTTAGGAGCAGTCCCAGGAGACAGGACTAACCTGGTCCACTCCTGTTGCAGGAGGCCGGCTGGGTTCTTCTTTGCACATCCTAAAAACTAATCATGTTAAGACCAGGTTCTGGTTTAGGATCCATCCCAGGAGAGTTGACCAACCCAGGCTGGTGTTTAGGGCCTGGCTTAGGGGACAAGACTAACCCAGGTTCTTGTTAGGAGATCCCTTGGAACGACACTGAATAAAGCCAATAATCTTGTCTGAACTGGGACAGTGCTTGGAGCAACCCATGGAAAGGGCCCCAGCCCACAGCAGGGGTGGAATGAGGTGGCCTGGGAGGTCTCTTCCGTCCCAAACCAGCCTGGAATTCTGGGACTTTCTCTGGATGAAGTGCACGAGGCAGCAACATCCCGGGCACAGAGCTGAGCTGGAGACTCTGTACTCACAACAATAAATCTGGAATAATTTAAAAAAAATAGCTGGGGAATCATAAATCTGTGCTCAATGGGGACCTCACATGTGGGCACATTCCTGAGGCTGCCAGAGCTCTGGGAATGTTTGGACACCAGGAATGCTCAGCTTGGGATTGTTGGGGTGTCTGTGCAGGGCTGGGAGCTGGGCTCCTTCCAGCTTGGGATATTCCACGATTCCATTAACTCCCCGCCTCAGGAGCTTCTCCAAAAATCTGGCTTCACCAAAAACCATCACCTCTGGATCTTTTTTCTCCCTTCTGGTGGAGGTTTTACTGTCCCAGTTCCCCACACCCAGAACAGCCTGTTCTGCCCTAACTCCAATAAAATTGACTTCAAATAATTCACATTCACAGCTTCAAACTCCCCCCAGAATTTTGATTCCAGCAAAACACCAAATAAATAAAATATAACCAACGTCCAGTGAGTGCACAGACCCAACTTCCTGCTGCCATTTCCTTTGGAAAACTTCACCATGGCAGGAAAATAAGGATAATCTGGCCTAGCAGTGGTTCATGCTCAGCTCATGTCAGCACAGCTCTTCAGAGCCAGGAGCACACATGGAAAATGTGTTCCCAATGGGATGCAAACCAGGGAATTCTGGCTCTCTAAAGAACTCAGCTCGTTTTTTCACCCCTGAGAAGGAAGAATTCCTGAAATCCTCCCATCCCAGGGTGGCACAGGGAGGTTTTGTATCCTTACAAGGTGTTTTACATACAACATTAAAATGTTCCTGCTTCCCCAAGTTTCCCAAGGCAGCAGCTTTGCAGGGAACTGTTGCTTAAGGACAGGAATTATCCTTGGGAAAGAATCCTTGGGAAAGAATTCCAGATCCCTGCTGCCTTCTCGGGGAGAGCTGGGAGTTGCCTCTCCCAAATCTCCTGTTTTCCTCTCACCACCCTGTCTTAAATTATTTTTACTTCCCAAAGAACTCCCAGATCCTCCTATATAATGGATATCAAAAGAATTATTAATAAAATTTACTAATATTCACTATTTTCCACCTTGAGATGCAAGTTGCCCAAGGGGAAAGTTCTCCATGGAAAAGCTGGAAAATATTGGAAAAGGGCAGTGGAGTCCCCATCCTGGCAGGGATTTAAAGCCCTGTGGAGGTGGCACTTGGGGACATGACCAGTGGTGGCCTTGGAAGTTCTGGGAATGGTTGGATTTGATCTCAGAGGGCTTTTCCAATCTAAAACATTCCAAGATTCCATGAACTCTCCATATTTTTATGGATCATGATCACAACAAGGCACCCGCTGCTGTTCCTGGCATAATTTGATCTTTATAACACAGCCAATTTTATCTGAAATAAATATTTGTTTTTTAATTGGAAATTCTCTATTTTTTTCCCCATTTCAGCCAGGACAATTCCATGTCCATCCCCTCTCCAGCCCTTCCAGCCACACCAAAACACACATAAAAATCCTGGGAAAATTCTCCTTAAACTTGGAGCCAGGCACAGAAGAATCTCTAAAATAAAAACAGAAAAGAGGCTCAAGCAGCATCACCCGAGGACCCTCCTGATCCTAAATCCCTGAGGATGAGCACAGGAATTTTGGGATAGGAATATTCCTGAATGTCTGTGTTTGAGGTGCTAAAAACCCTTTAATGGATGATTTTCCCGTCATTTTCTCCCCTTGCTCATAAATCCTTGGAATGTTTGACCATCCAAAACTCATCTCTGGTTTGGAATAACGTTCCCTCCTTTGTTTTCCTTGCTGCTTCAACTGAATGCTCAGAATCCAGGGAATGATTTCAGGGAATGATTTGGACCCTCCTGATCCAACCTCCTGATCATAAATCCCTCAGGGAAAGCACAGAAATATTCCTGAATCTCTGTGTTTGAGAAGCCTTTAATGGATGATTTTTCCATCATTTTCTGCCCTTGCTCATAAATCCTTGGAATGTTTGGACATCCAAAACTCATCTCTGGTTTGGAATAATGTTCCCTCCTTTGTTTTCCTTGCTGCTTCCACTGAATGCTCCAAACCCAGGGAATGATTTTAACCCTCCTGATCCAACCTCCTGATCCTAAATCCCTGAGGGAGAGCACAGGAATTGTGGGTGAGTAATATCATGGAAGCTCCATGTTTGAGGTGTTAAAAATCCTTTAATGGATGATTTTTCCATCATTTTCTCCCCTTGCTCATAAATCCTTGGAATGTTTGACCACCCAAAACTCATGTCTGGTTTGGAATAACGTTCCCTCCTTTGTTTTCCTTGCTGCTTCCATTGAATTCTCCAAACCCAGGGAATGACCCTCCTGATCCAATGTCCTGATCCTAAATCCCTAAGGATAGGAATTTTGGGACAGGAATATCAGGTATCTCCATACTTGAGGTGTTAAAGACCCTTTAATGGATGATTTTTCCATCATTTTCTGCCCTTGCTCATAAATCCTTGGAATGTTTGGACATCCCAAACTCATCTCTGGTTTGGAATAACGTTCCCTCCTTTGTTTTCCTTGCTGCTTCCATTGAATGCTCCAAACCCAGGGAATGATTTCCCCTCCCCGTGGCGCCTCGGTTTAACAATTTTAATGGGAATTTGTATTCAGGCCCTTCTCTCTTCTCCCCCTGCTTTATTTACTTATCAAGCTACTTTAGCCTTATAAACAGCTCTTAAATGAAACTTTCCCCTGCCTTTAAGGTCAAAAAAGTCTTTAAACCCCACAATTCCCATTTATCCAGGGGCTGATGAACCCCAGTGACAGGAAGAGAAAATTAACTCGGCTGCTCATTCCTGAATCCCACTTTTGCAGGTAATAACTTTAATGGGAAAGGGAAGGGCTGATAAAAGCCCCTACCAGAGTTAACAGCTCGTTTTTCCTGTCATTTTTTTCCATTGTTTTTATAGGATTGTGACTTCCCAGATGCGCAGGAGAAAAGCTGGAGTTGTTTGTGACTCCTCTGCGTTGAACTCATTTGCATCAGCTCTTCCCCAAGGCTTTGGCAATTTGATTTAATTTACTTTTTCCCTCCTTATTCCTTTCATAATTCCACTATTAGTTTTGGAAAAATCTCCAGCAAAGCTGCCAAGGGAGCACGGTTCATTCTCTCCCACAATTATCTTTGGGAAGCAAACGGGGCTGGAGTTAAATCAGGCTCTCTATTAATGTTTAATGAAGTTTTTTAGCCTAAGCACATTCATGTTTTAAGGATTAGGAAACAGAAAAAGGAAAGTTCTGGAGCTATCCTGAGAAATGACAGCGAGGTGCTTGTTTGGTTTGAATCACACAGCTGCTCCTCGTGGTGAGGGTCAAATCCTGATTTTATAGTGGGATTTGTTAAGGAGAAAAATAATGGAATTTTATTTTCACCCTGATGCCCCGAGCAGAGGCTTCACCCGCTGGTTTGGCCCCTCCAATTTGCATTTTTAGCTAAACAAATAACTGAGTTTTTCTCTCTCAGCTCCAACAAGGGGAATAATAAATAAATAGCAATAAAAAGTGGCGCGTGCCTCTGCTCTCTTTCCATTGGGTTTGTGGCCACTGTTGGGTTCACACCACAGGAATGTTATCCAGCATTTCTGAATCCATCTATTCCCAGACTCTCCACTGCAGCCACATTTCCAGGTTTTTTAGCTCCTGAGGTGGGTCTGGAGGTGCCTGAATGCAGATACGGAGAAGCCCAGACAAGATGGGATTTAGGAGCTTTGGGAAGCTCCAGTGCACGGGGATTG